AAATAACAAATATGTTTCGTGCTACACACGAACATCTATTAAAGTTACCAACCAAAAACGTTACTCTTATAATTTTTCCCCAAATTCCGTAACGATTTCTTTCCCTCTCTCGCAATGCAATCCTCATTCATCCATGCACACACCCTCCTTTCTAATCCCGTGCGATGTACGGGTTAAATTTGTTTTGGTAAAATTTTTAATTAAATTATTAATCAATAAGTTATAATAAATAGAGTATTTGCTAGGTAATTATAAAATGTTCGTCATGAAAAAGTCATACATTATCATCATTTTTTCATGCAAAATTACATTGCACTTGGTAACCGTAGACTGATATTTACCAAGATTGCTCTACATTTGGTAATTGCGAATTGCATAGACACATTCTTACTTTATCTATTTATTTATTTATTTTTGTTGATTTTTGTTATATTAGCACCACAAATTAAAATTATAGTGTAAACATGTATTATTGTGGTAAATACTAAAGATATGATTTATCTGGTGAAGTTTAATTTTATATAAAATATAAAAAAAGTTGTTACCTTAAAGTGTGGATTTTGAGTATATCTTTTTTTTTCAATCATTTTCGTTTTTTTTATTCCAAATTCATTCCAATATTGAGAAAAAATTGTTTTTGTTATGTTTTAATAGAAGTTTAGGTTTTTTATTGTATCTTTTGTAAAACAATATTATAAAAATAATTACGTTTAAAAAAAATAACAACTACGATATTTGTTTGTAGCACAAAAAACTAACTAAATGAATCGGATGACATTGAATCACTATTTTTAAATGAAAAAAATATTTCATAACTAAATTGATAAAAAAAATAATGATACCGGACGAAGATATTGTAGTTATGTTGTAGCTCAAAAAACTAACTATATCTTTTACTTGTAGTTAATTGTATAACTATATATGGAAAAATAAAAATAAAAAATTTAAAAGTTTAAATATGCGATTTATTTATATGTATATAATAAAGTGTACAGTCCAGGAATAGAACTTTCGGGCGAACTTCCCATATGTTCCCCAATAACTAAATTTTGTATTTATCATTTATATTATTAATATTGATACCATGATTATGTAAAGTTCTACTCTCATTTTTACGGCAAATTTATGTTATATTAAAATGAATTGAAAAGTCTAAAAAGAAATATAGATTGAATTAAAAATATTGAATCGTGGTTAAATTATTTGATTCCATAATACTAATTTTAAAATGATACTTCATAATATTTTATTCCATAATAATATTTTTTTAAAGAGAATTGATTCTAAACAACCGAAGTTAGTGTTTAATCAAATACTAGTACAACGTCCGTGTATTACACGGGTGCTTGCTAATTTTTTCTTAAAATCTAAAATTAATGAGAAAAAGTAATTGAAAATTTAAATACCTTTTATAAAAATATATATATTATTTTATATTTAGTATGACACTTTTTTATTTGTGCGACTTACTTGTGTTATATTATAATAATTTTTTAACTTACAACATATAACTACATTAAACATAAATATATCAATTGAGAAATAATTTTATTTTTCTAATGAATTTTAAGAAATATTTATTATTTTTTATTATTATAAAGATAAATATAATTTATTTATTTCATATATACAATATGGGTGTCAAATCGAAGATCATCAAAAGATGATTAAGTTGATATATTATATATGTAAAACCGATAAGAAATACAAAAGTTATCAACTTTTAAAATACATTTACAATTAAATAACTAATTGAACGAAACAAATCAAAAGTCAGGGATATATTAGTCACTTAATGTCTCACTATGTAAAATTACAAAGAATTAAAGAATTATATTCGTACAAGTGATATTAAAATATCCAAGTTAGCTATATAATATTTATGGAATGTCTGAACCTAGATTATTAATTATTAGTAT